AAGTCGCAAACCATCGACGCGACATAGTACCTAACCCTTCGATGCGACATGGTGCCGAAACCAGCCTTCTCAAGTTTGCAGAAGGTATGGTTCGGATTTCTCTCTACCCAACGTGCAACTGTCAGTGTAAATTCCACCCACCAATTTTACACTTGGCACTCGGCAATTTTTGAAGTTCCTTTTCAACAGAAAAGAAGAGAAGTTCCTGTTCACTCCAGAACAGATGAGCAGTTTTTACGGGGTTACCCTTTCCCTCGTGCATTGCAAAGCGAAAAAAAAGACGAATACCACCATCCGGACTTGGACTTTTTGTGATCCCTGGCTCTCTACTACTCTTTGGCCTCAAGACTCCAGCCGTTTCTGCCTCTTTTCTTCAACTTCTCGCCTTCTCTGTGATATCTTCTGAACTGTGCTTAAAAGACTTTCCGCCCATCTGGATTATTGTGTTTAGTGATTAAGTGTTATTTAGTGATTAAGGTTGGTCAAGTGTTCTTATTTTTATTTCGCCCCCTCCCACCACCCTGTCTTTATTTACTGTCATGTCTAATTTTTCTTTTTTTCAGGTCTTTTCTTTCTCTTTTCTTGTCGTACTTTTTCAAACTTTCAATTTTTTACACTCTCATACTGTTTTCTCTTTTACGGCATTTTCTCTCTTTAATTCTCAGTTTCTTTTTTTCATGCCGACACAGTATTTTCTATCTTTTCTTTCTGAGTGTACCATTAGTTTTTTCATTTCTATAAATTTTTGCAATCTTGCAATCAGTTTCTTTCTAAATTTTTTCAAAGTAAATTTTTCTTTAGTAATTTTGCAATAGTTATCTGCTTTTCTTTCAATCTAGTAATTTTTTTCAAATCAAAATTTTCACCTTTTTCTTGCTTTTCTCTTGTACTAATTTAGTTTCAGCCCCAAAAGACAACTTTTGAGTGTGCCCACTTGTGAGTTCTCCGCTCAAGGTTTGTCCAGCGTTCTTTCAAATTTTTCTTATGTACGACCCCCATTTTCTTGATTTGACCTGCTCTTTCTAAATTTTTTTTTTTTTTTCTTTGTGCTTGATAAGACTCTCAGACCCTATTTTTCTTTTTTTAACTTTTTTCGAAATTTTTCTTTTCAATTTAATTTCCGTCTTTTTTTCTGATATTTCTTGTGATTTTGTTTGTTCTTGCGAATACACGTCCTTCACTGTCTCTAACGCCTAGAGCGATTGACACCTCTTTGGGCTGTGGAAAGCGATTCCAACTTTGTCATAGAAATACTTTACGTTAGTTTTTCCTTCCGTTCTTTAAATTTAAATTTCGTCTCCCTTATTTTTCAATTTGCTATTTATTTATCTTTGCTTTTCAATTTTCTAAATTCATTCATTTAAAAGTCTTATTTCAGTTCCGTAGCGCGAGATACGCAACTGTGATATAACTTTCCCGTTGTCTCTTGTCTTTGTCAGGAAATTTCAATTGAGCCCACCCTGCTCTTGTTTTTCTTGCCATTCCCAACAGTCAACCCTTTCTATCCCCATTTTTAAATTTTTTCGCTCTATTTTTACTCATTCGCCGTAACTAACTCGTCTCCTGAGTCTTACCAACGCACACTTATCAACACAACCTCATTTCCTTTCTTTTTTTCGTAACTCTGCATTGTTTAACTAGATTCATAGTATTCTTCACTTGAGATGTTTTTCCCTTCAGTTGGATTCCGCTCCAACTTCCTCTCAAAATCTTAAGTCAAGTGACACGTAGCAAATGTCATCTTGTAAAACGTACGTTTTTCAGGTCACTAGCGTCGATTCCCATCGACACCGTCGATTTCCGCATCGACTCCTGTACTTCCCTTGGAGCTCAAAGGTTTAGTACACCCCTGGAATAAATCCTCTTGAAAGGACATTCCTGTACTGCAACTTCCTCTCGAAAGGCTTGCAGGTTCATCTAAACTCAAAGTGTATGCTTCTCGAAAAGCTGGCTGCGATTTAGTGGACATTTTCTTTTCAATGTTCGAATCTTTTTACCTATTTCTCAAATTTTTGCTCGTTTAATTAATTTTTCTGTAATTTTACCCCCACCCTCCACCCTATTTGATTTTTGCTTTTTATTCGGTAGTTCTTCTGATACTTGAACAGCATCTAGTAATGCCAAGTTTCCTCACCCTGAGCTCCAGTAGACTGCAATTTTCGAATTAATTTTCCCTTTTAATTCATTTTATTCAGTTTTTAATTTCTTTGTCTCACTTCGGTTACGTAGCGCGAACTGCGTGATTTTGGTGTAGATTATTTTTCCCGTTTGGATGTGTTTCAGTCAGGATATTTTCAGACATTATGTTTAGTGCTAATTTTTCTTGTCTTCAACACATCTAAACTATTTTACTTTTCTCATGTTTTGTGGATCAGTTTGCTTTCTGATAGAATCTTCCTCACCTCTAAGCACTAGAATGCATTGGTACTCTCTGAGACTGTCAGTTGGTTTTCTCGTCTACGATCATGAAGTAGTAAAATTTCTTTTTTTTTGTCAAAATTTTTCTTTTTTTTCCGAGCATTCTTACGTAATTTGATTCAAACATTCCTCCCTCTCTCTCTCCTAGTGTTCCTTCTGATTCCGGTTCAGTAAAATCTTGCTACCGCCGCACTCAAAACGGCTCCTTTTGACTTTCCATAGTCAAAATCTCTTTAAAAAAGGCGCTCGCTCCTTAGCCTCATCTCAATCTGCAGTGAAGTCTACTATCTCTACTATCGTTATTCTGAACATCTCTCATGTGCAATCTTTCCTATCTTGTACTCTAGTCTAAACAATCTTCTCTCTAGTTACTCCCTCTTGTTGATTTTTGATCTTGTTTTGTCTCGTTCGATCTTACATTTTATTCCTTGAAAAAGACAGAACAATATCATTTAAACTTAACGACATTCATGACAGACAGTAATTATAAAGCCAATTTTCGTTTTATCATTCTCAATTTTTATCAATTTGTAACTCTTTCATTTTTCGTTTGTGCTCAAACGCTTTCAATATGCGTCTTTTCTCAGAGCTACAACGATTTTCACATTTTGATAATTTCTTACTCATGTTCATTAATAATTTTGTTGCACCGTCTGCTCTGCGCTTAATTGTTAATCCCTTATCGATCTCGAATTTTAATTTCCGCTAGTCTGCCACTTAATCTTGTCAATCTTTGAAATCTCTGTAATTTCTTTTCTTCGCGTGGCTGCACTTGACCTCCATACCTAATCTATCCCGTAACTCATGCATCTTATCACTTGCTAATTTGCACCTCTTACTCACTAAAGACATTTTGCTTAATTACTAGCATTCCTTTCTGTCAACCTGTTACGCAGTTGCACCATCTCTCTTTTATTAACTTTAAAATTTTCTTTAGCTTTTTCAAAATTGTCAAAAATTTCTCCCCGTATAGTCACACTGTCACACTCCTTATTCAACACGTTCCTATTATCTTTTATTTACATTTGTTAACAGTTTTTACTTATTTTTACCGTCTTTTTCTTCTCTTTTTACAACTTTTTTATACCATCTTTGTTAACTTTTGTAATATTTTATATCATCTGTGTTGATTAAGTCTATAATCTCTGTAGTTATTCGTTGCAAGTCTTCCCTTCTCTTCTCGTTCTTTTTTTTTTCTTACTTTTTTTGTACCTTAAATTCTTTTTTTTAGTTGACACCCCATTTCTGCCCTTCAGGCCCGCTTTTCTTTACTTTTTTTTCATTTTTAAATTGCGAGGTCGCAATTTTCTCACCCCAGGGGGATGTCACAGATATCGAAATACCTGTAACTTGTTCTTTTCTTCAACATATAAATTTTCTATTCATATTCAGTTCAATCATTAGGGATGGCTGGATTTCGTACACTTTTCTCCTTTTCAATCCTATCTCCCAGCCATCACCTTTAATCGCCCATTACTTTTATTACTGAACTTGCAACTGATAGCTCCACTGATTATAGCCAGCCAATAGCGTGTAGACTTGTTGTCTCACCACCTGTGACGTCACCAAGTCTATAAAAGCTCGAGCTGCCCGTTTCTCTTGGTCCATTCCATCTTGACCCGTAGTACTACGTATGCCATTCTCTCTCCATAGGCATTATTATTCTAAGTGTGACTATTCAATCTCTGTAATCTTTTTCAAAATTCGTTTAATACAATCTTTTCGGCCCTCCAAGTATTTTCGTTCAATTCTTGCTCTCCCACAATCTTGCTCTCCCACAACTCAGTTAAATCTTCCGCCACATCAAGGGTTCTTAGATGTTTCAGTCCGTCTAAAGTCGCAAACCATCGACGCGACATAGTACCTAACCCTTCGATGCGACAATTATACTCACAAAAATTTTGCACAGGGCATTTATGAATGAAATTCCTCTATAATTTGACACTACATTCACGTCACCTTTTTTGAACAAGGGGAAGATTATTGCTCGCTTAAAACTCTCTGGCACCACACCAGTCTCAAAGATCCCGTTAAAAAGTTTAACAATTTTATTCTTAAAGCATCTAGGCGCATTTTTGTAAAATTCGTACGGTACTCTGTCATCTCCCGGAGCTTTGTTTTCTTTTAAATTATTCAATACTGACTCGAGCTCGACCAACTCGATTTTCTTATCTAAAATATCATCGACCAGGAGTGGCTCAGCATATTGCATGCGGGGGGCTTGTATACCAGGGTTGAAAAGGCCATCAAAATGTTGCACCCAGTCCTCGGGACTCAGGATTTTACTGATTGTAAAAAATTTTTTCCTTTTAGAAACTTCACTGCGCCCCAGAACTCTTTCGAGTCTTTGACGCCTTGCAATTTTTTAAACATCTGGTCCATAAATTTACGTTTTTTCTTCCAGCATGTTTCTTTAAAATGCTTTACTGCTATCAGATATTGGCCTCTAATTACATCGGAGTTAGATTTACGAAATAACCTTAAAAGTCGAAATTTTTCACGCCTCGCCTTTTCACAGTCCCAGTCAAACCACTCCTAAAAATGCAACTCTTAGTGATCCGATTTTAATCCAAGTAACCAAAATGCACACAGAAGGATGGGACAAGTGTAATGATGAATTTTTACTGCCATATTTCAATGTTAGAGACGAGCTAGCCATCAACGATGGTGTATTATTTTATAAAAATCGATTGATTATACCTTCTAAATTACAAGCTACTTATGTTAAACTACTCCACGGCGAAGCTCACCTTGGTATCAGTAAGGTAATTGAGCGAGCAAAATTAATCTGTTATTGGCCTAAATTTGTATCTGATATAGAAAACTATGTTAAGTCTTGTGCTGTCTGCAACAAATTTCAAAGAAAAAATGTAAAAGAACCTTTACTACCTCACCAAATCCCTGAAATTCCATTTCACAAATTAGGAGCTGATATTGCACAATTACAAGATAAAAATTACTTAATTCTCACTGATTATTTCTCCAAATGGCTTGAAATCAGAGAAATTAAAAACAAAAAAGCTGGTGATGTAGTGAGGGAACTTAAAAACATTTTTCGTACGCATGGAATCCCTGCGCAGTTGGTCGCAGATAATCAGCCTTTCAATTCGTTAGAATTTAAAACTTTTGCAAAATCTTACAATTTTACCACCGTTACATCCAGTCCGCATTATCCCCAGTCCAACGGAATGGCGGAATCAGCCGTCAAGCGAGCAAAAAGTTTACTAAAGAAAACTCTTGAAACCAAAGGTGACATTGATCTCGCAGTTCTAGAATACAATTCAACACCCATTGTACATCTAGGAGCCTCACCCTCTCAAATGCTAATGCCCAAGTAGCATTTTGCAACGAAAAAATTGCAATTTAAATGAAATAAAATTTCCAGATGATTTCAACTTTCTTGCAAGAAAATTGCAATTATTTTACATCTGACCCCCTCATTGTAAAAAAGTTGCAATTTTTTCTTTTTGCAAAGAAATTTCAATATTGACGACCTTTAAATTTCAACCCCTAAATTTTCCGGGGAAATTATAATAATTCGAACCCATGCTTACCTAATGTCCTACGACGTTTAGCAGCATAAAATACCGGCCGCCCTTGAATGGGCTTGAACCCGACCCGCGAATGTCATAGCGGAGCACTCTTCCACTGAGCTACAGGGAGCTGATGATGAGCAGGGTCGAAATCACGCCTGTTAAGGCTGTTATCGCATGCATTGCGTCAGTGCGTGGCTCA